GAAGGAAGGAAGGAAGGAAGGAAGGAAGGAAGAGAGAGAGAGAGAGAAAGAAAGAAATGCAAAAAAGGTGAGGTGTCTCCCAGGAGCTTAGAAATAAGTCCAGTTGAGAGTTCAAGGTGACCCTAGTTACCTGTGGTGGGTAGATGTGCAGCTGAAAAGCTTGAGTTCATTCAAGACTCCAGCCAAAGAAACCTGTGTGTAATCTCAGAGAGTTCGATTTGGAAAACCTTCATTGCCATTTAGTTGCAGGAATCTACTCAACTAACTGTATCCTAAACAGAAGACTTTGAGAACAGAAAGGAGAGGTCAGCTTAGAACATAAAACAGTGATGGTTAAAAAGGACAGAAGTTGGCAGTTTTTATCTAGTACTATCTAAGAAAGGAAATTATGAAATTTCCTGTCACCGGAGTGATAGACTCTGACAGAGCAGCCGCAGACCTCACCATGAACCTGATGAAAGATACTTCAAAACCCACAATCTCCCTTTCTGATTGCTCTGATTCTATGATGCCCTCTCTGATTACTAATTTAACAGAAGGAGACCCTGAACCTTCCAGGCATTAGAAAGATTTCTCATTGGTTTCAATATATCAGTCTCTTGAAGACTAAAGTGAGGTGAATCAGCCTCCCCAAATCTGGTACATAAGAAATTCCCAAAGATTCTGCTGTGCTTTTCAGGAGAACCATCAACCATTCCCTGCATCCTTGAGTCATCAGCCTTCACTTTGAAATGCAGCAGTTTTGAATAACTGGCCTTCAAAACGGGGTCACTTCCTAGAAACAGTCTCACGTTGGTGGGATCTCATTTGAGTCAGCATTTAGCCGAGCTCTAAAATCTTCCACCAACACTACAAATATGCCATACCAAACTAGACTCTTAGGATATACAGTGATGCCACTTAAGTAACTAGTGGTGTCCTATGTTTAAAGATGGAGGACAGGTGCAGTGACTCATTGTGCCATCCCAGCACTTTAGGAGGTCAAGGCAGGCAGATCACTTGAAGTCAGGAGTTTGAGACCAGCCTGGTCAGTATGGCAAAACCCCATCTCAAAGAAAAATACAAAAATTAGCTGTGCGCGGTAGCCCAAGCTTGTAATCCCAGCTACTCAGGAGGCTAAGGCAGGAGAATTGCTTGACCTAAGGAGGCAGAGGTTGCAGTGAGCCATGGTTGTACCACTGCACTCCAGCCCGAGTTACAGAGCAAGACTCCGTCTACAAACAAACAAACAACAACAATAACAACAAGCCAACAACAAAAAAGATGTAAACCTAGTAGCAGCTACTGTTTGGAGGAGAATGACTGCAAACAAGTCCAAGCACTTATTGCTGGCTATCAGCAGTGGCTGGGAACACGGGGAGAAGAAGAAAGCAAGGGGGAGCCGCTGCCTCTGCTGGGAGATGCTACACATTTCAGCAAGTTAAATTATCCCTGTTCCCTACATCCTGTCTCACAGGACCAAAGCAAAGGAAATAGAGTGTGGCTGATCTACTCCCTCGCAATCTCCCATCAAATGCACCTCACAGGCTGTTCTTTGGCCATTCAGCTCCCACTCAAGGCTGTGTCCTGGATGCTAAGCTTCATCTCATTTCACTTGTACAATAATGCATCACTACTTGATTTTCCCAGGGCTTGCCTTACTTTGGTTCATTCATTCATACATTCACTCAACTATTATTTGTTGATTGCCATTCTGTGCCAAACACTATCTCCCACGGTATAGAACTGGGTTTTTAAAGAATGGCAAACGAGGAGATCAAGACTATCCTAGGCAACATAGCAAGACCCTGTCTCTAAAAAAATTTTTTTTTAAAAATAATCTGGGTGTCATGGTACATACCTGTAGTCCTAGCTACTTGGGAGCTTGAGGTGAAATAATTGCTTAAGCCAGGAGTTTGAAGCTGCAATGAGCTATGATCATACCACTGCACTCCAGCCTGGGCAGCAGAGGGAGACTGTCTGAAATTAAAAAAAGAAAAAATGGCAAAGAAGAGGGAGTAACTTCTAGAGCCAGGACTATGGTCATAAGTTCAAGTGCCTGTAGACTCATAACACTGTGAGGGAGAAAGCAAGAATGCACTGCCCAGCCTCCCTAAAAGAAAGTAGTAACCTCCCTACCTTTTTTTTTTTTAATTTTTTATTTTTTTTGAGACAGAGTCTCATTCTTGTCACCCAGGCTGGAGTGCACTGGTGTGATCTCCACTCACTGCAACCTACGCCTCCAGAGTTCAAGCGATTCTCCTGTCTCAACCTCCTGAGTAGTTAGAATTACAGGCGCCTGCCACCACACCCTCAGAATTCCTCACAGACTGGCAGGACTTGGTTTATAGTTTTACTTTCACAGGTGAAGTAGAAGGGTCGTCTGTTCTCAGTCTCTTTTAAATGTTTATTTGGAGCTTGCAGTAATAATAGTAGTCACAATAATAATGACCTTAGATTTACAAGCACTTTATTTTTTCTTTCCTTTTTTTTTTTTTTTTTTTTTTGAGATGGAGTCTTGCTCTGTCACCCAGGCTGGAGTGCAGTGGTGCAATCTCAGCTCACTGCAACCTCCAACTCCCAGGTTCAAGCGACTCTCCTGGCTCAGCCTCCTGAGTAGCTAGGATTATAGGCGCACATCACCACGCCTGGCTAATTTTTGTATTTTTAGTAGACACAGGGCTTCACCATGTTGGTCAGGCTGGTCTCAAACTCCTGACCTTGTGATCTGCCGGCCTTGGCCTCCCAATGTGCTGGGATTGCAGGCATGAGCCACTGCGCCTGGCCACAAGCACTTTCATGTATATTATCTCCTTAGATTCTTGTCACTTTTGAGGCAAATGAGACAGACACTTTTATATTTTCTATTTATATTTGCATATTTTATATTTTTATTTATTTATTTATTTTCTGGAGATGGAGTCTTGCTCTGTCTCCCAGGATAGAATAGAGTGGTGCCATCTCAGCTCACTGCAACCGCCACCTCACAGGTTCAAGTGATTCTCCTGCCTCAGCCTCCCAAGTAGCTGGGACTACAGGTGCCCGCCAACACGCCCGGGTAATTTTTAGTAGAGGCAGGGTTTCACCATGTTGGCCAGGCTGGTCTCAAACTCCTGACCTCAGGCGATCCACCCGCCTTGGCCTCCCAAACTGTTGGGATTACAGGTATGAGCCACAGTGCCCGGCCTGCATATTTTATATTTTATTTCTACATTATGTTTTAGGTTGAATCAAATGAAATTTGATTTCACCTGTAGTCCCAGCTACTTGGGAGGCTGAGGCAGGAGAATCACTTGAACCTGTGAGGTGGAGGTTGCAGTGAGCTGAGATGGCACCACTCTATTCTATCCTGGGAGACAGAGCAAGACTCCATCTCCAGAAAATAAATAAATAAATAAAAATATAAAATATGCAAATATAAATAGAAAATATAAAAGTGTCTGTCTCATTTGCCTCAAAAGTGACAAGAATCTAAGGAGATAATATACATGAAAGTGCTATTTTTATGAAGTCGAAAACAGTTCAATATTGGCAATTTCAGCCTAATAAAATAATAACATCCTTACTTTTTGAATGAGGATATTGATTATATATACATTGCCCAAGAGGAGATTATGTGCTGTCAGATGACTACATCCAGTTTCAAAGCCTATAAACCCATTTGGGTTGTGGGCTGCCTTCATTCAAAGAACATTCGGAGACAGCCAGCAGCGAGACTGGCAAAAGCACTGTCATGATGGAACAGTGAGAGCCTGCAAAGTGCTAACTACACTATACAAATTACATCCTGTACTTCTAAAAATCCCTGTAGGGTTTGTATTACTCATCTCTTGTTTACGGATATGGAAACTGAGGCCAAGAGATATATAAATCATCCAAAAATACTAGCTTGTAAGCAGCATAAATGAGATTCAAACTCATGACTGTCTTATTCTAAACCTGGACTCTTTCCACTAAAATCATGTGGAAGCTATTAGTGATTTACTCTCCCTCAGCGCTCCCTTGCCATGAAATACCAGTACGCAGATTTTCCTCTGAATCCTCTAGTTCTAATTTTCTCTAGCTTAGAGTTTCCTGAAAGGTAAATCCATTATTTTCAGATATTTTCCCCAATCCTTCACCTCTAACACTCATGATTCCCCATTCTGATCTCAGCATTTTAAAACACTGCCTGCCAAAAGACTAGATTCCCTTAACTATCAACAACCAGTTCAAGGATAAATTTATGTGATGGGTCTGACCCAAAATTGACCATAATGACCCATAATGAAGAAAACAAAAAGACTTTTAGAGAGTAGAAAAAGATGATTCAAACTATCACTTTTCTAAATGAGTTGGCACTCACCTTCATGTATCAGGGGATGTTCCACAGATGTTCTGCTGGCTCAAATAATTTGCAACAAAGGCAACTCCGTCTCCCACAGACAAGTCAGAACAGGAAGGACAATCTGGACCTTAATTTATTTGTCTGCACTAAGATGTGGGAGTGTTTCCACTCTGTCTGGGAGCTTTTCTTTTGCTTTTAAGCCCAGCCCAAATCAGAGTGGTACTTACCCACTTATGCTGGGAAATGGATTGCATTACTGTAACTAAAAACAAAAGCAAAAACAAAAACACTCAACTTTTCAGAGAAAGTGTCATCTGAAAGACCACAAACAACTAAAAGTGACTAATTTTTAAATTTTTCTCTTCAGGAAATCCTTACAAATGTGGCAATAGCTGAAACATTGAGAGTATCTTTAGCTTGAAATGAGAAATACGCAATCTTAGACAATGAAGGAGAAGAAGGAAAGAAAATAATGGTAGCTGAATCCAAAAAGAGACTTACAAATTCTGATTTATATCTAAAGGAAAATACACTGAAATGAGCAACAGGAGCTCCAGCTTAGCCACTAATAATCATCACCATCATTAATAATTTGTGGAGCTCTTACTGTGTGTCAGGCATAGTACTAAGAACTTCACATTAATTATCTCACTTAATCTTCACAACAATCCTGTAACATACGGAGTATTTTTATTCCCACTTTACTGACAAGGAAACTGAGGTCAAAACAATAAGAAACTTGTCCTACATGGGTGGTAGAGCCAGGACTTGAACCAAGGCAGCCTGACTTTCGGTTTCCTATCAATCAGAGGGTTAAATTAGACAGTTTCCTATCAATCAGAGGTTTAAATTAGATTATTTCTAGGATCCCTTCTAGTACCACAATTTTGCAACCTTTTATAATGGACTAACAAAATCACAAATAAATAAATAGACTAGGAAAGAGATTATGATGCAAAAGGAAAGACCTAAGCTTTAAAACAAGCTATGCTTTCCATACTCACGTTTTAATTTTAAACCCATTCCCCTTCTTCCTTAGACAATGTTCCACTAAGTAGGAGGAATAAGGGGGAGAAAGAGAGGTAGTCTTTTACTTAGCAGATTATAATTATGAGATATTTAAAATTCTGGCCAGGTGCCAGTGCTCACGCCTGTAATCCCAGCACTTTGGGAAGCCAAAGGCAGGAGGATCACCTGAGGTCAGAAGTTTGAGACCAGCCTGGCCAACATGGCAAAAACCCTGTCTCTACTAAAAATAAAAAAAAAAAATTAGCCAGGTATGGTGGCAGGCACCTATAATGCCAACTCCTCGGGAGGCTGAGACAGGAGGATCACTTGAACCCAGGAGACAGAGGTTGCAGAGAGCCGAAATCATGCCATAGCACTCCAGCCTGGGTGACAAGAGTGAAATTCTATCTCAAAAAATAAATAAAATAAAATTTCATTATAATGTCCTATATAGAAAAGCTAAAATGCTAGCATAAAAATAGCAGACATTTTTAAAATTTATTCAATCAATACTTAGTATACACCTATTACATGCAAAACACCTCACTAAAGGTGTTGCATATTAAATGGAATTCTGGTTAAGACATAACTAATTGAGCATATACGTTTATCTCCTCTCTCAGGAAACTCCATGAAAATTGTAGCAAAGGTATAGAACCACAAGACAAAACAAATGGAAAGAGACAACAGCAAATATGAGATGTCAACAAATCTTTGGAAAATGAGAAATCAATCAACCCATAACTGAGCTGGTAAAGATGAGAAAGCAGAAACCTAAAAATGCCTGATAAGGTTGCCAACAAGAAGCAAACATAATTATGCTATGGAGTCTCATACGGCTCAGGAATTTGAGACACCAGGTAGGTACAATCAACCCTCATTACTCACAGCTTCCTTATTTGTGAATTCACCCACTTGCTAAGAATTATTTGTAACCCCCAAATCAATACTCACGGTGTTTTGCAGTCATTCACAGACACATGCCGTGGTGAAAAACTTGAGCTGCCTGATGCACATTCCCAGCCGAGGTGGAGCAAGCTGATGCCCTGCCTTCCTGTCTGAACTTTCAAACTGCACACAAATGTCTTTTCATGGTCTATTTAGTGGCAAGTTGGTTATTATTATTATTTTTTTGCATTTCTGTGCCTTTTATGAGTGATTGTGCTGTTTCGAATGCCCCCCAAGCAGAGTGCTGGAGTGCTGTCTGGTGTTCCAAAGCATAAGAAGGCTGTGTGATGGCCTCGTGGAGAAAATACATGTGTTATATAAGCTCTGTTCAAGTATGAGTCATAGTACTGTGCTGGCCATGAATTCAATGTTGATGAATCAATAATGTATATTAAATAAGTTGCCTTTAAACCAAAACACACACAAAACAAGGTTATGCATTGATCAGTTGACAAGAATGTTGTGATCAGAGGCTCACAGGCACCCAACTCTGTATTTCCCCTACAGAGAATAATTCAGTATTTTCTAACTCAGTGTTTTCAGTGACTTAATTGAACATAATTGCCAGGAATAATAAGAATTGACTGTACTTCTGAAAAATGAAAATAGGAAGATTAGTTGAAAATCTGAAAAAGAAACAGACTACCTAATCCTAACCCTACAAAACCAAATTCATTAAATTTCTCCCATCCCAACAGCAGATGGGAGAAAAAAACCTGAAAGAAAAGCAATGCAGAAAGCAGAATGTTTTTAAAAAGAAACTACTACTGAAACCTTCGTAGAAAATAAGAAAAATGTTGTACCCACAAAATGTGAAGAAGATGCTATGATAAAGGCATAATTAGAGAACAAGAACTCTTGGAGATTCAAAATATGAGAGCTGAAGTGTAAAGGCTAGAAAATAAACTTGATGAAATCTTCCAGCAGATAGAAGAAAACACAAAGAGATGAAGAAGAGCCAACATCTGACTACTAGCAGTTCCAGAAACACAGGACAGAGGAATGGAGGGGAAGAAATAATGAGAAGTAATACAATAAAATTCCCAAGAATTGAGGAACATTTGTTCCTCAGATTGAAAGGGCCCACTGTAAACAGCATAATAAATGAAAATAAATCTACACTGAAGTGCAAAACAGTAAAGTTGCAGAATATCCAGAATAAACAGTAAAAGTGTTTCCAGATAGGAAAAAAATAAGTCATATACAAAGGATCAAGGATGAGAATGGCTTTAGACTTAATATCAAAACCAGAAGCTAGAAAGCAATGTATCAATTTCTTTATAACTCTCATGGAAAGCTATTTCTCACCTAGGATGCTCTACCCATCCAAATAATCCACCAGAAAGGAAGGTAAAATAAAGTTCTTGAAACTTTGCATTTTTTCAACATGGAAACTTTCAAGAACTTTATCTCCCATGTGACCATTTTCGAGATGTTATTGAAAAAAGTGAATACCAACACAAAAGCATAAGCCAAAACAAAAGGGAAAAATGGGCTCCTGAAAATGGGAGATTTCAAATAGAAGAGAGAGAATTCCAAGAATGGTGGCCAAGGGAGATCCCAAGATGACCACAGTACAGCAGGCTTGGAGAGCAACTAGACCACATGTGTGGCAGGCACCAGGCTCAAGGAGGGATATTCCCAGTGAAAAAAACATAGAGAAGACCCAATGGATATGACAGATGTTGAAACTTGAAAAGTTTTGCAACTCTCTTGGAAACTTTGGAGAAGCATGAATAATAGACTCAGTAAATTAAGGAAACAAAAAACATGGCATAATTATTAATTCCAGGAATAAGAAAATATATTAATTAAAATATAATTAATTCCAGGAATAAGAAAGTCCAATATGTGCCTCAGCTATGAATAACTACAGAGCCATAACAATGTAAACATTAATGGATTTAACAAAAGTTATAACTATATTGAAAGGATGAGGTTAGGAAAGAATGCACGTTCGTGTGTGTTTGTGTCTAGGATTGGTAAGAGGCTTCAGTCTTTATCTTCCATAGTAACAAGTCAATAGATAATGTCTAAAATTGACAATTTTGGGCAAGGAAATACAGAATGTGCCTGGCATATCTCGTAGTACCAGAAAGTAAGGAAATGTTGAAAAAGCAAAATGATAGGGCATGTCAAAGGGACACAGGAACCAATCTGAAAGAGCTTCTGGCCAAAGCCAGAACAATTTAAGCAAAAAAGTAAATAATGTATGCTGGATTATAATCCAAAATATAAACTAAATATACATTAGTTCATATTAATATATTATTGATTAATAAATGTGGAAGAAGAGACTAATTTTCCTTAGAGAAAAATTCTAAGTCATCTGTAGATACTGCTCTCTTTAAGAAGTGAATGAAGCTTAATTCCCTCTCTTCTCCCACCTTCAGGGTATGCTAGACTTAATGACTCGCTTCCAAAGAACAGAGTTGGGAAAGACAAAAATAGTATTTTACATTGGAAAAATCTGGCAAACCCTACTGGAACCAATTAATGAAAGTTAGCACCACCAGTGATGTTATATGGATATAGCTAACCCCTGATATGATGTGACAAGAAAGATTATTTCACTTTGTAGATTTCTTTCCAAAAATGTACAAGCCCAGTCTGGTAATGAGGAAAACATTAGAAAAAACAAAGTTTGTGGACATTTTACAGGATACCTAATCAACACTCTTCAAAACCATCAAGGTCATGAAAACCAAGTAAAGACTGAGAAACTGTCACAGACCAGAGATTGGGAAGGTATGAGGACTCAATGTAATATGGTAGCCTGCATTGGATCCTGGAACAGAAAAAGGACATTATGGAAAAACTGGTGAAATCCAAATATAAGTCTAGAGTTTGGCTAATAGTAATGTACTATTCATTATCTGCTTTTCAGTTTTGACAAATGTACCATGATAACATAAAATGTTACTAATGGAGAAAACAGTAAGTGGTATTCAAGAACTCTCTGAATTAGCTTTGCAACTTTTCTATAAATCTAAATTTATTCCAAAATAAAAAGTTCATTTTTAAATTCCAGAAAGTATAATAGGGCACCTGCTTGAGCACACAGGTTTACCCAGAGTATTGGTACTGGTTTTCAAAAATCAAATAATATTTTGTAACATCATAAAATATAGAATTTTTTTTCCAAGATGGAGTCTTGCTCTGTTGCTCAGGCTGGAGTGCAATAGCACAATCTTGGCTCACTGAACTCCACCAGGTTCAAGCAATTCTCCTGTCTCAGCTTCCCGAGTAGCTGGGATTACTGGCACATGCCACCATGCCTGGCTAATTTTTGTATTTTTAGTAGAGACGGGGTTTCACCATGTTAGCCAGGCTAGTCTTGAACTCCTGATCTTGTGATCTGCCCACCTCAGAATTTTAAAGCTAGAAGGTGATTTAGAAATGAGTCTGCATCCTTCGCTTTTATAGATGAGAAAACTCAGTCTCTGATTTGCCCAAGGTAACATTATTAGCAGCAGAGCCAAGATTAGAATTTATCCAGGTCTTAAGATTCCCAGTGAAAATGTACAGAAACACTATGAGGTCAGCTCCTATTTTGGAGAGGCAGAGAATCAAACAATAGGAATCAGAATATAAAAGTTAAGAAATCATTATGCCTTCAATATTTACAGCTGAGACTTCCAGGTTCTGGTTCCCCATGTAAGGAGCTTAGATGTCATCACTCTTTCCTAACAAGTAAAAAGCTAAACAAACAAATCAACAATTCTTCATAGATCCATCAGAGAAATGAGGTCACAGGACAAACTAATGCCCCCAAAATTGGAGAGACAGACAGGTGGATATACAGAGAATCACAACTCACCAGAACACAAACCCATTTCCACACGAATCAGTACCAGGGTAGGAGAACCTGAACTATAATTGTTGAATCACTCAGGGCTCAGTATGGACAAGTATAAGAGTCAAAAACTCCAGGGAGCCCCAGTCATAAAGAGGCCCTTGCGCTTTGTGAGTTTTACCTCTAGGAGCTAATATGAGAACTACAAAGTTCTCATAGTAAACATTAGAGAAAAATAGCAGGGAGCAGAGAGACAGAGGGAAGTAACCATTTTGAAATATACTAGAGCATTTTGTTCTTCTTAACAAGGCCTACTGTATTAGTCCGTTCTCACACTGCTATAAAGAAATACCCGAGACTGGGTAACTTACAAAGGAAAGAGGTTTCATTGACTTACAGTTCCACATGGCTCAGAAGGTCTCAAGAAACTTACAATCATGGTGGAAGGCAAAGGAGAAGCAGGCACCTTCTTCACAGGGCAACAGCATGGGCAGGAAAAATGCCATACTTAAAAAACCATCAGAGCCCATGTGACTCACTCACTATCATGAGAAGCACATGGGTAACAGCCTCCATGTTCCAATTACCTCCACTTGGTCCCACCCTTGACACATGGGGATTATAGGGATTACAACTCGAGATGAGATTTTGGGTGCAGACACAGCCAAACCATATCACCTGCCCTCAAGAGAAACTATTTTACAAGAACCTAACCTAATGGGAAAGAAAATACCGCACTACAGCCCCCTCTTATCATCCTGTATCACCTAAAGTGGTAGAGAAAAAAAGAAAAACTGAGGATCATTTGTGAAGTTTACAGTCCAGAGGCACAGGCTCACTAAAAGACTGAGACCTAATCATAGGACTGTCAAACACTTCTTCTCCCTTCACATCTTACCACCACCTCACTAAAGGTCTGTTTACCCCAGTTCCTTTTACTTAGTACATCATGCTCACCTTTCAACAAAATGTTATAAGGTATACTGAAAGGCAAAAAACACATGTTGAGATTCACTCAGGATGGCTGGCAAAATATTAAAGAAATATTAGGAAAAGTTATAGATTAGTCTCAAATCTTTTGGAAGGCCAAAAGGTTTCACTGGGACAGGCCAAAGGTGGCAGGTTCATTAAATTAGGGAGAAGATAGGATAACAGGCTTTTCCAGTTTAAGTCTGTTTACCCCACATCCCATTTTCTCTACTCTGTTTACTCATGTAAACTTTGTGCTGGATGGTCCTCTCAGGAGAAGATTAAAGGGGAATTACCCATTAATAGTGTTTACTCTAGGCCTGAAACCTAAAGCTTTTAGCATTCCTAAAAACACTCTTTTAACCATGTTAATTATCCACAAGTGTGTTGACTTAGAACCTCTGTTGTGAAATCATGGAATAAAGGTGTGGATGTACAGGGAGTCTTGGTCGATTGGCTGCAGTTACCCTCTGAAAGCAGCTGAAGATCATCCCTAGCCCACTTGAATCACTGTAATAGTGTGAGAG